TGACGCGAGCGCGCTTCCTTTTCCCGCCTTCTCAAAAGTAGCCAATCAGAATCGCGATGTACACGGACGGACGGACGGACGTACGGAAGGACAACTGGGCTTCCTGTGTCGGTTGATCAAAACTCAACCCCATGGGTTTACCATTTTTCCTTAGTTATGGTGCTCCGCTCGCGCGGGCCTTCGGCCCGCGCGGGAGCTCCGCTAAAAAGTCTGGATCAATTCCTTAGTTGACGTCACTTCATTTGCATTTTCAATGTTCAAATGTCTATAAAGTAAAATTGAAAATCTATTTCTTTATTCACAAAAGTGCTTGGCAGTGTGTAATTCTAAAAGGTGTCATGTGCACTTAAATGCAGATGCATATCAAATTGCAGTTTGTATTGTTATATGACTATACAAGTAAAGTTAAGTGTATTATAAAGGTCATCTGTGCTTTAATTCAATTTAATTGATTCGTTACCTATCTATTTCAGCTGAGCTACAGGTGAGACGGGAATTGAAATAACCTTGGTAACGCCTGAAATCATTAATGAAGAAAATTTGCAGACCTCTTTCTAGATCTCTTACTACTTTATTTCATATAGGGCTACGAATCCGAAAAATAAAAAATAAAATAGAAAATGCAAGGAGAGTATTGCAATATACAAGACTAAAGATTCACCTGCTGAAATAGAAAATGAAGATTGAATTTCTACTTGTGGTTGTCTTCACGTTGCCATTTAAATAATATAGGCGTTAATACACTATTATCAATTAAGGGTACAAAAGTGGATTCAAATGTTCATACTGAAAACGTTTTCTCTCGATGCTCTTCCCGACTGTACTGTTCCTTTACTCCTACAGACAATTGTTCATAGGTTTCTACAGAACACCATCCTGGTACACATATAAACACGCTAAAAAATATATTTGCCAAAAAATACTTTAATTTTATTCTATACAACAGCTCTCGTTAGAGAGTATTTTTTTCACAGTTTACTGAATAATCATTTTGATCACTTGATAAGAATTTCGGGCCTTCATTTAATTTTAACTTGTTTAAGTTATCATGTTTTATTTTTCCTTGTCTTTGCAACGTTCTTGTGCTTGTCATTTCTTAAGAAAAAAGAAAAATGCAATGAGAAAAATAAGACAGTGAAGCACGAATACGTTGTGATTAAGTATCGGTAATTTTCAAAATATGCAGTGGCGGATCCAGGATTTTTCATAAGGGGGTTCCACTTTGTTTTCGCATTTTCCTAAAACGAACTTTTTTGCTGTGCCTCTCAAACTGTAGCAGATGTAGCGTGAATGTATTTAATAAAACTGCATTGTACGATGCGTTTTTACTTTATTTCATTTATCATTTGTTTTATTTTTTATGCTGGAGGGGGGTTCCTAGGAACCCATGAAACCCCTCCTGGATCCGACACTGATACGAATTTGCTGTACAGTCACTTGCAGCAATTAATTCTGAGTCGACGTCTAAAACTATCATTATGTTAGATGCATCATGGGTAATATCATGTGATTTTTGCTCTTTTCTCGTTAAAACAGATCACAAATCATTTAAATTCTTTGAAATTACGTTTATAAAAGGTTATTCAAGAATAATTTAAAGTTTTATAAMATATTTTGTAAAACTCATGAATAATTAATGAGGAAAACACAATAGAAATCACAACCGTGAAGAGTGTTGTAATATTTGATGCAAAAGTGTCTTGATTTGCATAAACTTCAAATCTAATTTTCTCAGACAAATTCAATTTTATCTTTAAGTTTTTAGTAGACTATGAATGTATACACCTAAACGTTTCACAAGTATTTTACAACATTCGCGTCCGTGTTGTATGGGCTTTACAATTTCTCGCCTTCGGCTCGTGATTGTAAAATCCCATACAACACGGCCGCTCATGTTGTAAACATTACTTAAAAGATTTAAGATTTGAAATATTAACTACCATATATATTGATATATTTATAGAAGTTAGCTGTCAGAAGCTGTATTTGAAGTAAATATATACAATATATACCTCATTTAGTGTCATTTACATCCGTAGAGCTATATTGATATATTTATAGACGTTACAGCCCTTTGCAAAAATTATGAGAATTGTCGAAATATCTAAATATCATAATATCAAGTGCATGATGGGTAATCCCGCGCGAAACCCTTTGTCCCGAACACGCGGGTTTGCTAGAATAATTCATTGTTGACATCGAGAAAATGTTCAGAACTACGGATAAGTCTGTCGCCGAAAAAAAACTAAACTACAAAGACAAGTGACTAAGGGCATCGCACAGGATTACCCATCATGCACTCGATATTATGATATTTAGATATTTCAATAATTCTCATAATTTTTGCAAAAGGCTGTATCTATAGCTATTTGTAATAATTCTGACACACCTACTTACGCTAATATTCAAATATATATCAAAGTAGCCCTATTAAAATATGGGATACCATTACTCATATTTTCTTAGAAAGTACTCATTCTGTACAAGTAAGAAATATATTAGTCATGGCATCCTATAGTATTAATTAATGGTCAGTTTGATATATACCCGGGGATATATACAAATATTAGTGTAGGTGCGTCAAACATATTGCAAATAGCTCTATATGAGAATACCTCATTTGCATCCGTAGAGCTCCATTCTCATTGAAGGCCAGGCATTCCATGTCTTTGGGAGGACTTTGACAAACCTCGCTCTGATTGGAGGGTTTAGGTCATGCTTCACAACAGTATTTTGATCAGTGTTTCCTTTGAAGACCTTTCCTGCTTGATAATTCTTGAAGGTGGTGCCGTCCAAACTGTACTGCAGGCTGTAGCTGTTAATCCACTCGGAGGAATGGAGCTTTGAACCCTGTGTTGCGATGGCTGTTACAGTGTGAACTGTGCTCAAGTCAACCTTTAACCACGAACCGATTCTGCCTTTTGCTGTAGGAGCCCAGCCATAACTGTTCATATTCAATCTCGCTTGAGATGGAAGGTAATCTTTTGAATAGTACGACGAGGCGGTGATCCTAGAGTCGGGAATGGCCTTGCTCTCCATTCCGAGAGGTCTTTTGTACTGCTGAACTGTAAACCAAATAAACGTATCTTAGTTATTTTACTCTTGAAAGTCAACACTATAAACTAACTATGTTAGATAATGGCTTTGTGCTGCTATTGTGCGCATCTTTTAAAATCTGGGTGATTTGAGAAAATGCGACTAGCCAATCAGCGCAAAGCTGACAAGCTTATGTTGTAAACATAACCCCCCGACGGGAGGAATTTGCACAGCAAAACTCGACCCAGTGGAGTAGGCTGCCTGCCATTTTATTCTATCCGAAAAATCAAAGCTAAAACGCAAAGAGAAATTGAAAATCTTTATAAAATAGCTTTTATTAAATGTCAATCAAATATTTATCGTTATAGAAATAGAATTTTATCTTAAAAATGAAATAGCAAAGAATTTTTTCTTTAATACCAAGGGACTCCCCTCCCTGCTAAAAATAATTAGTCTGTGTTCTACGCGGGTTCTCCATTGCATGCGAAGCAATGGCCGACTTCACGAAGACTTCAGAAGGTCGTTGAAGCGACGTTCAAGTCCAAAGTATCTTATGGAGGAACTATTGCAAATCCTTTTTCTTAGCTCTTGTTTCCTCAAAGCTTTGAGGTATCTACAACATCACTGAAAGAGCTAGAGCAGCTTAGCTCCATGTATTCCAATAGAGTTAAAGCGTTTGTTATGTTTCATACAAACAACTGTCGTAGTTCATCCTTTGTCGCATNAAAGAGTATCGAACTATTGGGTCACATGATGGGCCTTTATATCCCGATAAAGCACTGATGTTTTATTAATCAGTTCTATATCAGATATATAGAACTGATGTTTTATTAATCAGTTCTATATCAGATATAAAGAACTGATGTTCAAGGTCATCAGCGCTTTATCGCAACCCAACACTAGCAAAGGTCTCAGTTTTAATGTCGCATCATAGACCTTTGCTAGGTTTTAAATCAGTTTGAATCAATGTGCAGACATGCAGTATAGCAAAGACTAGCCGTTCTTACGTGTGGGATCAAAATTCTTTCAATTGTGGCAAATGCACATGCTCAGTAGAAGTTTAATATGCATTATCACTGTTTTCGCATTTTGTAGCTTTTTTTCTAAAATGATAACGATTTCTGGATGTTAAAGTTCTAGAAGTAGTCTAAAAAACTCGCAGTCGTGCTTTATCGGTGATATAGACACTCGGCCTTCGGCCTCGTGTCTATATCTCCCGATAAAGCACTCCTGCTCGTTTTTTAAACACTACATAATGATGTAAATAATAAATGTAAAATCGATCCCATATGGAAAATGGAAAAATAATTAAGAAGCAGTAAGTAATCTTGGAGTCGGGAATAGCCTTTCTCTGCATTCCGAGAGCTTGACTACAATGCGAAACTGCATAGGAAGATCATTTAATATTTTCGTTAAGCCAGATTGACCGATCCAAATTCATTGTCCCACCTCCCAAGTTACACAGTTGCTACGTCAGACAAGCGAAAATATTCCTTTGATATAGAGCATGAAAAAGATGCCGATTGCCGGGATATGTAGGAACCTGCCTTGTTGTATGTTTTTTAAATATTCATAAGGAAAAGATAATGAATACAGGAAAAATCTTTGATTTTGTGTTTGTTGCTTGGACAGTTTGAATTCCGCTGGGAAATTGCTTGGTGTTTGCTCATTGTTTGGTGGTTAATCTATGCGAAGAAGGATTTTATCCATGGATTTTATCTTTTTAGACAGATCACTTGTATAACTGTAATACGAGATACAATGTAAAAATGATTTATATATTGAAATGTTAGCTAAATTTAGATTTTCGAGAATCTGCAGACATGACAGACACCATGGCTTTGTTCGCAAAGTATCGTGATCATTCCTATCACAAGACGTGTTTAACAAGTTGAGAATCAGTTTTAATTTGAGTTGCATGTCTTTTTAACGTCACTGAAAATGTTCAATAAATCATGCATTGTATTAATTTTTGACAAGTAGCCCAGAAAACTGAAGTACGTGCGTATTGGCATGAACGATGGATTGTTCATGGGAATGAAGAAAGTTACCGTTTTGACAATTCTTTCCTGCGATGCCAGGCATACACTTGCACTTGTAATCTTCTCCGTCCTCATGAATGATACATTCGCCTCCATTTTGGCACGGTTTAACCACGCAGGGATTCTGATAAACCTGGAATGATGTACTCTGCATTTACCATATAAAATTATTGAATACAAGCGAATGGAGAATACGCCTTTTTCCTTCCTTGTCAAAGTGAGCGACCGTTGTTTTATTTGACAAAAGTTTCTCTAGTGCAAACACTTTCCAAAGACAAAAGAAATCACGAAAAACATCGTCATTACAATAGTTATGGAAATCTGCATTTTTTCCGATTTGAGGAGACTGTATTCCCAGAAGGCTTAAACTTTAGATCTTGTGTGAATATCAGATTAGCCTTAAATCGGAGAGAAGTCAAATTTATAGAGCTTTTGTAATGTCAACTTTTTTGTTCAGGTTTTTGCGCAAGTGAATCTGTTGTCTACTAAAACAGCGGTCGCGCGCATTGAACAGGAAAAAGGCTTACTTGTGAATAGAGATTTGAGTTTTCTCTTTGAGAACGTTTTTGGAAGAAGGAAAGGCTCAATGTCAGTCTAAATCATAACCAATTACCAGCTACCAGTTAGCACTAAATGGCGGTCAAAATGGAGTTTCAGCTGCAATTGGTCCTTGGAAGGTTTGTTCAAATGCCGTTTTATTTAAGGGTTTGATTCAAAGATTGAATGACCATGATTCAAACAGATCCAAAAATGTAGCGATCCACTTCAACATCATACATTTAGATAACACTTGAACATTTGTGTAATAAATGTAAATTCTTAATCACTGATGAATAAAAAAGCATCCTTACCTTTTCCCCATAGATGAAGCCATGAGCTTGTACAAGCTCGTTCCGATTTTTTGCTCTTTTTCTGTTCAAATGACAAGCTCCAGTTCCTTTATTGTAGTTAAATGACTTACATTTGTCAGCAACAAGGCAGAAAGCACAATCCAAACTACTAGAAGCCTTCCTTTCGTGCATGGATTGGTCAATAAGCATGTGGTCATCGGTTGTTATGATAAGTGAGGATCTATGATCCTCGTCACTTGAATCAGTTGAAAAAACAAGTTGAAAGTTTGTCAGCAGGACAAGAAATACGAGCAATATGACGTTACACATGGTATTCTACAATGGCAAAGAAGCAAAGCTTCTTAGATTTTCAAGCTTAAAATCCTGTGTTGTGGTAGTTAGTACTGTTCTTAAAGAACACTGGCGCATGGCCAGGGAGACCGTATGTTTAAATCATCTCGTCAACACCTATTTTTGGTAATATTTGTTTGACATTAAGAATTATTACGAAACAGTCTAAATTCACAATTATTTACATTATCTAATTATATACCACTTAAGACCTCTTAGTTTGTGGAATCTATCGATATGTCCGCAAACATATCGACATATAGAGAAAGAATTACTTAGTGAAACATTTATAGAATAAAAGCGAGTATTATTTCAAAATGTTCTTCAATAGTTGGCGTCAGCTATATATAGCAAAATCAAACAACCGTCTTTTTCAATTCTAAAATGATGGACTTCAAATTTGTATAAAAATTGCTCTTGGCAGCAGGTTTTGCCAATATGTTTTGATATTTTTGGAGCAGATTTTTTCTACTTTCCAAATGCTTAACCCAACAAAGTAAACAGGAAGACTTTTTTGCCGGCACAGATCTGCATATATCGATATTGCACAAATTAGCAAGAAAAAGAAAGTTCTCCCAACTTTATCAATATGTCAACTTTGGAAGTTTTAGGTAGAAATTTGACATCGAAAAACGTTTTCTTTTCTTATCTTAAACATCATTATAAAGGTAGATTTTTGGCACAGTAATGCAAAAAATAACCAATAGAGAAAAACGCGATCATGTCACAGTGTCATCTTGACATTACTAAGCAAAATCAGATTGAAATGTCAATGTATACTGGATAAAAAAAAAGACAATACGATTGTAGCTAAACAAAGAGCTTAGCCCTTAGGGAAAAGTCTGCATGTATATTGAGAGAAGGTCTAAAATCTCTGATACATAACATCTCATATAAAAGGCATTCGAATATATATGTTTTACAAGCTATTTCTCTTGCATTTCATGATTTTCTCCATTTGAAAACTAATCCCACGCTATAACGATGGCAACGTCATAAAGGATTTCCTTGAAAGCTTTTATGACAGTTTTTTCCCTCAAACACAAAAATACTATTTTGAAAAGCGTTTTGAATCTCGAAAGAGCTGTTTTCCTTTGAAATTGTGAATTCATTGAAATATTACTAGAAAACAAGGCTTACATCAACCAGCACCATAGTATTTTTATTCCCACAAAATAATGTACAATTACAACAGCTGAAAGAGATAACATGCGCTGAGTTACGGCATTTAGCTAAAATATCAATATTAAATAATATTATGTAATTCGATCTTTTCTATTGTGTCGATACTGTGTGACACGTAAAATGCATATATACAAATAAATAAATCAACAACTAAGACTTCATCAACTGTGTGAATGTTATAGTAGAGTTTTTGTGATAATTCACAGCTTACACTGCAAAGTCATAACGAAAACGCAACAGTAAAGACAATGCCTGATTGACTGAATAAACTGTTGGTTGTTGTGATATCTTACTTATACATCTGAACTATATATAGTTTTCATCACGAAAGAATACCCGATATTCTAAGAACCTACAGCAAAGCCGCATTTCAGCACTATATACACCTATTTCAAAAAAGACTKTCGGATAAAATGGCAAATGTCAATTGTCGAACAGCGATTGCGCGACCGAAAGTAGCCATGGCTTGTAGAACTCGATGAGAAATAACAACTGATTTATACTGCAAGATGATCTGTGGTAAACATTAGCTCCATCTAGCTCATTTCTATGCAAGGTAAATCCAATAAGTGAAAATTTGCTTGTCAAAACAGTATAACCATAGTCCCTTTTGGTCGTGCAATCTCCCTTGGACAATCGCTGCTCGCCGTTCTCCCCGACAACATTTTTTGAAATAAGTGTATACATCATTAAAAAGGCCTATCCCAGGAATTTCACGCAACACGCACGTTTATTATTCCAAGTGAAAAAGCTAGTTTTTGTCGTAGATTGGAGCCTCTTTTTGACAATTATCCTGGGGCAGAAGGACAAGTTGACCTGATAAACAAAGGTTGGCGGTTTAATAGAGGTCATACTTACAATGAATATCTCAAGGGGAAGCAAATTCCGGGAATTTGGAAGTGAGCACAATTTGGAATTAATAGTCACAAGTAATGATAGGGCGAGTGCAATTTGAGAACTTTCAAAACATTACGAGTGACTATCAATTCCAAATTGTACGAGAGACTGTGCGATTTTATAGTACATTCAGGGATACAAATTTTGAAATTACATTTTATTGAATGTACAATAAATACGAAAACGAATGTTTAGAATTCCTGTATACATGTTTTATCAACACTTGAGCAGATGAGGTGGAACAGGGGAGACGAGAGATAACAACTCCAATTTTGGGGTACCTAACCCTAGTATGCCCTTTGAACTATGCTTTTTTTGTCCACCTCCCCTGGAAAGATTAAGCGAAATATTTATTACTTGGCATGCATAATAAGATCACCAGTTCTTTCTACTTTGTCCAGTCATGGTTAATGTTCTAAACGTCTTAAAAGACACTATTTCAACAAGTGCAACAAGGTATATTTTCATCCTCAATAATGATCTTTTCTTTGCAAAACAAAGATTAACTAAGAACAGCTGTTTACAGAGGTTTTTCATATTCGGGAGACCCCACGTGCTACCGTGAGGACCCGCAACATACCGAAAATAGCTCGTGACATTATCACCCTTCACATTCTTAATAACTACAATGAAAATGGAAGTAATGAAGAGAAATTAGTAATCTGAACTTTAGTTCAGCAAAAAAAAATTATCACTACTAGAATACTCATGACTATAGTTGCTGGAACTTTGTATAAATTAGGATTGCTTTGATTCAGTAAAGCGGTAGTATTGAACAAAAAGTTCCACAGTTATTATCCAGGGAATTAACGTAGCTCCAATAACTTTTTTCCTGTAATGTTTTTGAGATAAAAGTTCTGGTGTTCCGGCTCACTGTAAAAACTGTAAATGTAACTGGCAGGTAAACGACAATTGTTCAGAAAACATCCAAGAAAGAGACAGAACAATGGATCGACGAGCAATCGAGGGAATCACTGCTAAAAGGGGCAAGCAAAACGTTGAAAGAAGAAGACTTGAGAAAATGTCCAGGTCCTTGAATTTTTTTTGGTTCCTTGCCAAATGAACAATAGACGAAGTGGTATGAGGATAAATTTGATTTGAGACTGGAGATGTCCAAATCCGAATATTACAGAGATTATCAGTGAAAATGTACTTTAATTAGTTCCATGAGCAAGACCAGCGAGCTTGTTCTTGATGCCTTGGCGAATGTAGGACAGACGCAGTGACATGATGATCGGGTTGATGAGAGACTGGAGATGTAAAATTGTTCCACAGATAGGCGAGGCGATGTACTGAAAATCACTCGTCACATCTTTACCCCTCACGACTTGTATCACTGTGATTACAATGATAGGCATGTAACAGAGAAGCCACAAAGCCACTAACATGGTCATCGTGAACACCCGCTTGTATTCCTGGAGTCGTTGCTCTTGATGCTGCTGTTCGTCTGGCTGTTGAACTGATTCTCACTGCAGGGCGATGGTTCTACTTTGACGGTAAGCTGTTAGCTGTACTTTAGATGAGCAGTACAAAGTAACTAAACCGAAAACGCACATGGCTATTGCTATTGGGAGTCTTACTATTTTAGCATCGTTTACCTGCTAAAGCTTGTACAATTAACAAGTAGCCAAGAACTATTCCCAATGAAATTGCCATGGTTGTGATAATTTTTTTTCCTGTAATGTTCTTGAGATAAAAGTTAGGATGTTCTATGACTAAATACCGCTCAACACTTGCCATCGTGAAGCTTATCTGTGTGCCACAAGAACAAACACTCAACGAAAAAACATACACGGTAAATATACAGTTAGGCGAACAATGGTTCAGAAGAAATCCAAGTAGAAGGCAATGCAATGGTTCGACCAGCAATCCCACAAGGAAATCGGTCACTGCCATAGAAGTAAGCAAAAGGTTGAAGGCAGAGGATCGAAGATTCTCATTCCCAACCACAGCCCATATGACGAGGGCATTGACGACAATTGTCGGTGGGGCAGCAAGACCATTGACAGTAATAAGAAAAGTCCAAGTCGGGTGAACTGAATCTGGACGGTTCATGTTATGAGGGTCAAACTCCACAATCGGCATAAAGCAGACACCAGGTGTACTACTAGTAGGAACCACGACACTAGAAGAGTTATTTGCCATCATGGCAAGCAAGAATTGTGAAGATTTGCTTTAACGGTTGAAGGTGCTTCTCTGGTCGTCAGGACTGAATGAAGGTTTGCTGATAATCTGCAACCTCATAAATCTTGTCTGAAGCATTTTGTATAATTTGCTTTATAATACTTACTAATGAACAATTATTAAGCTACTTTTTACACTCACACCACTGATGCACGGACATTTTGCTTAGACATTGGGAAAGTCAACACTATTTAAGTAATAGATAACTTTTTCCGTGTTTACATAGCCTGATGCAAACACGAGGGTAGGTTGGGAGAATTCGAGACGATTATGCAAACCCGAGACGAAGTCGAGGGTTTGCATAACCATCGAGAATTCTCCCAACCTGCCCGAGTGTTTGCATCAGGCTATGTAAACACAGGGAAAAAGTTATCTATTGCTTTAAAAACTTTAGAATTCGAGTATGATTTTTATGATCAAAACTAGGTTTCTCCTTACCCCAAACATTTCAATGGATTTTTCAACCAGCCAATTACAGTTCACGTTTTAACGAAAGGCGAAGTTGGCCGGTTTGACAAAATGTGAAAAAAATGGCGGACGATGGCGGGCGACTTTCTTTCTTTCTTTTTGCATCAAAATTGCCTTTTTAGTGACCTTAGATGAATCATAAACTATGTGTTCTTTGAGGAGAAAGGGTGCATGTCTGTCAAAAGGTCAACTGGACGCAAAAAAATTAGAAAAAGGTAGGTAAAACCAGCAACGAAATGTGTACTGCTGTCGCTGAATGAAAACATT